GGCTAGGTTAGTGCTCCTGGGCTCAGGAGTTCATACATCTTCCTAAACTTTTAACATGGGTAGGCTTATAAGGCAGTACCAGGCAGGCCCAACCCTCAGTGCCTGCAGAGGGCACCTGTCACTGGGATGGCAGTTGGTGGGGGATCTGGGGGTGGGCAGAAGTCTAAGAATGGGGCTGTGGGTAGGAAGGGTCCACCACCAAGGGAAGCAAAAGCAGTGATTGGATGAGGGAGTGAATGCAGAGCGCTCAGGTTATTAAGGCAGAAGCCCTTCTTCTTCTCTCTCATCTCAAGGTCAACGGGTGCCAAGGACACATGGCCTAACTCAGCACGTGTCTTCATCGCTGCATTCCCCCCACTTCCATCAGAAGTCGACCTGGTGGTCACCAGCGAGCATACTAGTTCCCCTTTGAGTTTCAGTCCTAGAAGGGCCTTTGCCCTGCTGAGCTAACTTTTCTTTCCTTCATGCCTCCAAAGCAAACAGATTGCTTGATATTCAAACAGCCAAACAGTCTGCTTATGTTCTGCAGGTCTTTGTTCCAATAAGAATCTTCTGGTCTCCCAGCAGTTCTGGGTTGGTTTGCATGTTTTCTCAAATGGGAGTGTCCCAACTCAGAAGGTTGTAGGTGAGATTCAGGATTTCCCCTAAGGCCGCATGGTGGTGGTGGTATGCTGTGGAGTCCCTTCCAACTCACAGTGACCCTGTACAGGGTTTCCAAGGCTGTAAATCGTTACGGGAGCAGACCACCTCATCTTCCTCCCATGGAACAGCTGGTAGTTTCGAACTGCTGACCTTGAGGTTCGCAGCCTGACTCGTAACCACTACGCTACCAGAGCTCTTTTAAGGCCCCTTAAGAGTGGATATTTTTTTAAAGTTTTTAATTTTTTTTTAAAAAGAGATGTTTTTCTTTACATTTATGAAATACACACTTATTTTTAAGTTTTTTTCTGATTAGATTATATACTATTGTACTCAAGAACTATCACACTCTTGAAATAAAAGTTATGTAATATCAAAAATGTAAAATTATGGGACAGAGGCAGGTCAATAATGAGATGCAGGATGTCCCACTACAAGTCTGATCGCCACTGGCCGTGACCTGCTCACCCACAGGGACAAGAAATGACAATGACAGGCAGGACAGGAGTGGAGCCTAGTCTTCTTGGACAGGCCTGGAGGGTCAGGTACAGAAACAAGTTGGGAGACACAAATGTGTGGCTAAGAATAGTAGACAGAAGTGGACAGACAGAAGAAAACAGCGGGCTCAGCCTCTCCACCAGCCACTGTGACTAGTGGACGTTAGGCAGGCTGACCCTGGACTCTCCTCTGTGGCAGCCTCCCTCACTGTCCCAATCTCTGTGGCATTTGCCACCCACACCAGCTGGGGCTGCATCATGTTCTCAGACTAGGACACGCAGCCTGGAGGAGACAGAGATGTAAGTGGACCCACCCAGAGCAAATGGGCTGAAAAAGCCAAGTTCCCCTTCTCCATCAGACAGAAATGCTTCCATGAGTGAGCGCCCCAGCCGTACAGAGCCAGGCCCACCACTTCTATGGGGAATTCTCGCTAACATGGGTAGGGTGATAGTACCAGGCAGGCCCAACCCTCAGTGCCTGCAGAGGGCACCTGTCACTGGGATGGCAGTTGGTGGGGGATCAGGTGGTCAGCAGAAGTCTAAGAATGGGGCTGTGGGTAGGAAGGGTCCACTACCAAGGGTCGGAAGCAAAAGCAGTGATTGGATGAGGGAGAGAATGCTGAGCGCTCAGGTTAGTAATGCAGCAGCCAAAAGAGACCAAGTTCAGGATGAAGTAAAAGGCTTCCTCCTCCCCTTTCTGATTCTATGAGTCCCACTTCAAATAAGCCGTGTGTCCTGCTCGCCTGCTCACCTACAGGCCTTTACTGAATCCTTCCAATCGCTCCTGTTTGGTCTCTTCCCTACCATCTGAACCTTTCAATCCCTACTTACCCCCCTCCTACTACTTCCATCTTCCCTCTCCAGGAGCTTGGGTACCCATCGGCTCTCTCTGGCAATATCCCTGATATCTTAAACCCCTGTTTACTATATAAAATACAAGTTCCTGGCTTGTGAGTTTTCCATACTGACATTACATCAAGAGGGTTTTCCACATCTGGAAACATCTTTGGAACGTATGCCATTCAGTGACGCCTTACACTAATTATACAAAACTCTCTACAAGGGCTCTTTGAGCTTCTTGCCACTGTAATATATCTTCTACAGACTGGAGAGGCCTTTACTGCCCAACAAAGTCACCTGTTATTCTTGAAGTATGTACGGTTCAGTCCCTAATCTCTCAGTAATCATGCCACAAAATTGTGTTCTAGACCCTATTCTCATTTCATTTCATACAGCCACAACCACGTTCGTGACTCTAACTGGTCCTCCTGATTGGTTCTGGTGCTCAGCCATCGCAAGTCCTTTAGAGTGGCCGGGCTTAGGCTTAGGTGACCAACGGCAACAGCTTTGTCCACTGGAAGAAGCAATTCAATTGAAGGAAGGGATAGAGTGGACTTCATTGGATGAGATCCTGTTTCCTGTATCCCCAAACCAAAAGGAACCCACTGAAGGCAAGTAAAGTTAAATAAAACAATCATTCAAGAATCCAAAGATAAAATTGTTGTTGTTGTCAGGTGCCATCGAGTCGGAACCGACTCATAGCGACCCCATGCACAGCAGAACGAAACAATGTCCGATCCTGGGCCAACCTCACTACCGCTGCCACACCCGAGTCCATCAATGATGCCACCTGGCTGATCCATCTCATTGGGGGTCTTCCTCTTTTTCTCTGACCTTCCACCCTACCCAGCATGACATCCTTCTCCAGCGATTGTTTCCTCCGGACAATATGTCCAAAGTAGGAGAGACGAAGTTTAGCCATCCTGGCCTCCAAGGAGCACTCTGGCTGCACTTCCTCCAAAACAGATTTATTGATATTAAAAGATAAAGTTACAAGAAGGTTATTCTGGGAGCATGGATATCTGAGGGGTGAGGCTGCTTCTAGGAAGTTGCTCTGGGTTTCTATGGATTCGGTATGACTGCTGTATTGTAGATTTCTTTGAGGTGTCTCATGACTATTACCATTTCAGAAGGTTGACAACTTGACAATTGAGTTTTCAGTCACAGCCTTAGTAATGGCTCTCCATGTGGTGACTATTTTAAGATGCCTTATAGACATGCTTGGAATCATCATCAGTAAGCAGGCATTGTTATAACCCTTGGCACATTTCCGGGTCTGCTTTTAGATTACTGATGTGAATGCACACTAAAGAGTGAAAACTGAAGCTAACCTTGTAAAAGTCTCATCTTTTTAGTACAGAACTGAAGGAACAAGTCAACTGTAAAATCTCCATGAAGAAACTTTCACTGATAAATTCTGTCCAAAGAAATAATAAATATGAACTCTTTGGAGGTCCTTTCAGTCACCAGAAGAGGAATTGTGAATTCTCACAACCATCTTGATACGCAGTGTATTCAAGGCCTTAAAAATGCTCATCATAACACTGAATTCAGCGTAAGCCCACTTCTCGTCTTCCACCGTAATGAAGCAGGCACACACGTGTCCAGAGACCTGGTGAGGGCAGGTTCAATGGAACCAGATGTATTGCAGTGAAAATGTGGCAACACACTAAATGGCCCATTGTAGAGGGATTTTGTAATCACAGAAGTCCTTATGTGAAGGTAGCATTGAAATGGCATGTGTTCCAGAAAGAGAGAGAAAGTGAAAAATGCTTCATGAAAACACCATAGAATGGAAGAGGAGGGATTTCTGACAGGGACTCTCAGTCATCTTTGTGTCCACTACCTTATTGGCTAGTTCTGGGGCTCCAGACAAACAGTTCTGTCCTCACTGCAGCGCTGAACATGTAGACACTTGCCTACTCCTTTTAAACAAGACTTTGACAGCCTCTGGCTGGCTTACTCTGTCTCAGTTACAAAGCATCATGTGCACTTTCACTTTATATAGTGTTAAATTTTTCTTATCAGTTGCACACTTTTGTTCGGTGTTATGTTAAGTGCCATAGAGTCGGTTCTGACTTACAGGAACCCTTTATCGGGTTTCCGAGGAGCAGCTGATCGGTTGGAACCACCAACCTTTCAGAGAGCAATCTAGTGCTTATCCTACAGTGTCACGCCTGGACTATGTAAGCCCCTTAATTTGTGGTGAGATCAGAAGAGACTTAGAGTTGGTTGGCACCTGTTGCTGCAGTTGGGAAACTTGGTGGAGGGGAAGATGCCAGGTGCTGAGCTCTGTCATTTTGCTTCAGAACTTACAACAGGTGGTGCTTTGATCTGTCCTAGTCAAGTCTTTAAAGACGTTAACTAGATCTGTTCTGATGGGTCAGAGGGCTGCAGGAGGCTCTCCCCTTCCCTAAGAAGTAGTGCATGGATTACCCAATCAGATGCCCTTTATCATCATCTCATCCATGAATACTGGGCCCCCTACTGGGCCCCAGCTGTGCTCCCAACCTCAGCCAGACCTTGCAGCTGAATGATCGCTTCCTCCTCTCAGCTGCGTTCCCGGAACTCATTTGAAGTCTACACCAGACATACTATGGCCTCCTCCCTTCTGAGGTTCTGAATTTTGTTTGGCCCCTACATCAGAACCACCACTGGCTCCTCCCTGTTGTGTTGGGCCCTCTTCCAGAGCCAACAGTGCCTCATTCCAACCATATATTTTGAGTTTTGTTCCAGATCCTTGCTATCACCTCCCGGCTATGTATTTGTGTTTTGGTTGTTCTCTTCAACAAGAAAGACCACTGCCAACTACCAGCTTTGTTTTTGGTTGAGCCATATACCAGAACCTTGCCACTTCCTACCAGTTATGTTTTGGGCTTTGGTTGTCACCTTTTCAGGAATCCCCACTGCCTCCTCCCACCTGTATTTTGGTCCTCACATGAACCTCCCACCAGATGCTGCACCACTTCTGGGGGGTGACTCTGGAAACATCTTCTGTGGGGAAAGATTCCTGAGCAGCCTCACTCACTGACTTGGCTACATTTTCCACCCACTCCAGATGAGCCTTCATCAAGTTCTCAAAGTCCGCATAGGCCCTGTACTGCTCCGGGCCGCAGCCTGGAAGTGGCAGAACTGGGACGGGAGCCCAACCAGACTGACCAAGCTCAAAAGAGCCCAGCTCATATGATCCAAGAGTAAATAGATAAAGGTTTACAAAACAGACTAAATGCTTTAGAGAAAGGAAGATCACTTAAGGGAAATAAGACCCAATATATCCAGATTACACTCCCAACTAAGGTTATTCATGGTATAAGTAGATTTGTGTTATCTTTCAGTAATCCAGAACTTGACTGG